GCGACCGCGTGGCAGCAGGGAAAATGGCCGCGGATCTGGTTCGTAACCCGAGGCGGAGTTTGCAAACTGAGGTAAATTTTTGCGGCTGGAGCTGGTCGTAACCCGAAAAGTTCATTAACAGAGGCGTTCGTAACCCGAGGCGGAGTTTGCAAACTGAGGTAAATTTTTGCGGCTGGGGCTGGTCGTAACCCGAAAAGTTCATTAACAGAGGCGTTCGTAACCCGAGGTACCACTGTATATGTACATACACATAGATGTAACCTTTTCATTAAAATTGTATTTCCTGTACTTTGTACTTGCTTGCACTGTAATTCTTTATCATGAGCGTCAGCCTTCCATTCACATTTTTCTGCTTGACCCAGACTATCTGAACATCTTCCCTGAGCATTGAACAAAACCAAAACCACTTCCTGAACCTTATCAGTATATTCAGAAAGTTCAATGCCTACCTTCTGAAGAACACCCTTACAGTCTTGAGATATAACCAGGTTTGCCAGAAGGTTAAAGGTCATCTGCTGAATGACACTGTTCTCAGAGAGAGTTTGAGTTGCTAACTTCATAATGTGATGCATCAGTGCGTTCCCAGCTGCAGTTCTTTGGGTTGTCTGGAAGGGGCACAAGCCACTACTTGTCACACAAAGGGAAGCACAACCTTTAAAGATCAAACATGGTTACATGTAAATACGAGGAGGTAAAGGACTGTTCATTAAGTTGCCTGTTTGCAGATAAACAATCTCATTCCATGTTGAAATTAGAGCTTTCAAAAACCTTCAGTAAAACTGATATAAAAAAGAGGATCTTTGGCTCAGGGTTGAACTATGGAGTTCCTGATGCTCCCTGAGCTTGGCTGTTTGCTTGCAGATGTTTCAGTGTCCAACTAGGTAACATCACACTGATTTTGTTATCTAGTTAGGTAATGAACCATCTGCAAGCAAACCACCAAGCTCAGGGAGCATCGAGAACTTAACAAACTCATATAAACCATTAAATATCACAGAACACACTTTGTTTTGTCAACTGTTACAGGAATATAATGTTGATTAGAAAAAGGAATCCTGTTTCAAGCTTTTTCTCATATGAAATCCATTTCCCTCTTAGGTCCACTCTTCTGGGAAATAAATACGTTGCTTACGCACAATTCTATCCCTTTCATGTGTATTCCCTTCCCTCAACCTACACTATTTATTTATTTTTTGTTTTAAAAATAGTCAAATGAGAAAAAGCTAAAATTATAAAGTTCCCTTGTTTTAGATTCCATCATCTGTCTTTTCCAAGCAGGGCATCCCTTCTGTTTTCTCACCCACTCTCATCTCCAGTTCTTTCTTCTGGCCCTATTCTGACTACAGCCATGTTGGTATTCATCATTTAAATGTATTATTAGAGGGAGTGATTCATGATGATTAAAAGAAGTGAGGAAAGAAAAGCTTTCTTCTTTAAGACATAAAGTGATAGAATTCACTGGCATAACATGGAACGTTGGGATCAGATATTCTATGAAGACACATCTACCAAGGGCTTGATCTTTCATCTTCATAAAACAATGACATAAAACATAATATGGATAATTTTCCATCATCTAATGTTGGAAATGCAGGCATGTGGAACATATTATAATGCATTTTTAAAGTAATGGTGGCATTCTGAAGAATATGGCATGTATTAAGCCATGCAGTAACACATGAAAATAATTTCTAACATCATTTTTGAGAATGGCAAGCACTCAAATTATCTTTGCCATTCCATGCACAATGGATCTGGCATGAGTTCCTATTTCTTTTAAACCAGCATCAGTACTTCATACTTTAAAACAGTCCTGGATGTTACCAGCAAAGTTAAGTGGTGGATATTTTGAGACACAGAGATGCATGGGAGTTGATTTTTTCCCCCCATGATCAGGTTTAAAATCCAAGCTAAAGAAAAATTTGGGGGTTGTAATGCTTGCCTGATCTTTCAAGTGAGCTTCAGAAGTAATTCAAGTTCAAACTCTGAGTCAAGAAATAGTAAACTTTGAAGACTTCTCTGCTATTAATGACTTCTCACTGATGTACAGTGGTACCTCGGGTTACAAATTTAATCCGTTCCATGACTCTGGTCGCAACCCGATTTGTTCGCAAC